GGTTGTATCATTGAATACTGTTTGATTGATGACTGTTGGCTCCGATCCTTCCTAGCTGGGATGGGATGCTGCTTGAGGCTTGAATATCATTGAAGGATGCGGTACATATGCCGGTGGAGACTGATGAGTGGCCATCGTATTTATTTGGATACATGCCATTATATTTATTGGGGAATAAATAACCACACCCTTTTGTTCTCTTGTCTTCCCTCTCGCGTTTGTTTGTTGTATGTCGTAGTAACAAATTCGTTCGAGGACTTGCTCTGATAATGAAGGTAACCTTCTTGTGTTGCAGTTTCGATTTCTGATGCATGATTCACCGGATGTAAAACCAGGTGTGTACAGTAGGCTAGCTGCTGCTATTCCTTGTTCCTTCCGGGCTCAGTCGTGTGGTTTGCCTCGCTGTTTAATCGTTTGCACTGTACTTTCTTTGTGTTTGATCCCAGATGATCTGATCTATGGATGCTTCTGACGGACTAATTCCGATCCATGATGCAGTAGCCTTGGATGTCCTAAATTGCGTTGTGTTTGTTGTACCGGGCATGTTTGGATGCAACCCTGAGCTATTTGCCTGGGCATTCCACCTGCCTGTGAGCTGCCTGCCACCGGTTATAAAAATGTCTGGTCAGGCAGATGAAGAAACTGTTGTACCGTTTGGTTGAAGTCCTAGATATTTGCCTGAGTGGACAGAAGAACGAGGCAACCGTTTGGTTCGTTGGTTGCATGGAGATAAGACAACAGTGTTTTACGGTGATTAAAAAACCAGGCAGCTCGGCGGCCTCCCAGGCGATCAATTTTATGCGCCTGGCCACAGGCAACCAGCACAGGCATTCACACCAGGCAAAGAAACTCAGGGCTCCAACCAAATGACATTTAGGCAACGTACAGGCAAGGGGCCTCCCCAGGCAATTTTGGCCAGGGTTGCATCCAAACAGCCCCCAGATGCGTGCATGCATGAAACATACCAACGGCATACCTATATATATCTAGGGGGTCAAACCAGTCGGAGTAGACCAACCAGAGACATGCCTGCCTTTAAGCAAGGAAGGCCAGGGAACACAGATATACACTGACATCGTCAATAAACGCTTTTAATTTTTATACATTCTTATTTTTATTTTATTTCTGCAAAAATACATGCCTGCTACTAATTTTTTGTGCCTAATGTTAGAAAGTAGAGAGTGAGAGACAAGCGAGCGATGCAAATGATCTGTCTATTCCATTGAACACTGTTGTACATATATATATATATATATATATATATATATACAGGGCCCATAGGCAGTTACAAGTCTGAAGGAGAGAGAGGGGTGAAAAGACACTCTTTGGATTAATCCCTAATTGATTATTAAATAATAATTCTCAACACTCCCCCTCGATCAGTTAGCTCCTTGTAGTCTTCACTGTTCATCTATTATGCATCATTATGAATCTTTGGAAAACCCTGTGGGAAAAACCAAAGTAATACCAGTATATCAGGCAAAACTCCTTAAAACATAGTGGGAAAAATAAGAAGAAACACCATGATATACAATCACTAATGTTATTAGACACTTTGAGATAAGCCCAAAGCCTTAGTCTAAAAACACCTTGACCATATGGTCAATATGCATCAAATATCATCTTTCAAAAACTCTGGTGGGGAAAAATAGATGATAAACATATAACTTTATGTTGACATTGCCTCATCAAAAACATTATATGAGAAACCATAAATGAAAAACTCACAGAAAAAAAAGAGTTCAATGCATTTTATGTCACAATATCACCCTTCAAAAATCCATGTGGGAAAAAATGGACGATATGACATAACCTTGTGTTGATATTGAGGGAAAACTCACACAAAGAAAAGAGTGCAATATGATGTTTGCAACAAGTTATTAATCAGAGAGTCTCTCCCCCTGATATTTGCAAATCTCAAAGTAAATTCATACCAATGCACTCACCACATAAGAAATATGGAGTATGGTAGACTCTGTGAATATCTCTGCAAGATTATCACAGTACTTAGTTTGCAAATATTTATACGCCCATATTACCTATGGAACGGAACCATCTTAGTGCAAAATATTACATTAGGTATAACTTGTCTCCATCTACACAACACAAGTTGCATTACCTTTATATATAATGACCATTGATTCAATAGAATCAACACCACATAACTTTAGTATGTGATATATCATTATGTCGAGCTATACACATTCATGTGAAGCCCTGTAAAATACAATATCAAAATAGATTAGAAGTAACCATTAGTGTCTATTTAAAGACTTTCACAAAATGGTCTTTCCACATGTACATTAAGCCTTTCAAGGATCTAGAATTTGAGGATCTAATAGATAACTAGAATCATTATATCCTACTGGATCATGGGCCAAACGAATACACCAAGATCACTTGTGCTATTAAGATACCAAAAGATATTCTTAACTTCAATCCACCAATATTTGGTTGGAGTAGAGCTGCTACTAGATAGCAAATTATTGTAAAAATAATATCTGGCTGGAAACTTTTGCAAGATATATTAGCGCATTAATAGCACAGAGATAATGGACCACATGTCCCAATATCTCATTTTAGTCACTATGGCATAAAGCAATCTTCCTCGATCATGAGGTAGAACAACCATAGGATTGATACCTTCATATTGAATCACTGAATATGATTTGAATATAGATAGCTTTTGTACAAAATCCTGTGAGAAAATGCTTAGATAATAAACAAAAAATAAAATTTTGGTTTAGTCCGTATCTTCCATTTTAAACTCCGTCTTTAGATTACTATGTGCTATTAACATGTGTTCATCACCGATAATGTCAAGATTATTGACCATCATATGACACTATGAAATCCAATCAAGGACTTCAAAATCAACACCCATGTGTAATCAATCTTGTATCCCTTCAGTTTAAGGAATATACACACAAAGTCGATTGTACCAAATTCGACTTAACTACTATAAGCCATATATTGACTTAAGCAATACACAATATATGTTGAGATTTTATGTATAATGGTTGGGTATGTGAACTCCTTCCCAGAAGCTTCACAAATACACCAAATCAAGTGATCATATAAATATATGCAATCACTACGTCTATCAACTATCAACTGCAAAGATAGATGCTTTTGTACTGCCAATCATAAGATAGTATCGGAAATTTATAACACTTACTATGGAGAATAATTTACATTGAAAATCAATGCTTGGGCTTTGTGTAAACCCCTTGTGCTACTAGTCTTGCTTTGATCTCACCACCACATTGTTCTTAATACATTTTAGGATGAGAACACTTTTGTATCCCACAGTAAAGATACCTCAAGGTGTTGGCATCGCAGCCCCAAAACATCTCTTTTCTGGTGAGCAAGACTATCTCTGCATGTATTACATCACTCAACAAGTTCCAGTAAGAGTGAGAAAAGCACTCTGCCATGGTCTTATTCACTGGATGACTTGGAATGTTGTATACAATTTATTCGGAGAAGTATGTGTCGACACATGTAGCCTTTCTATCATAAAATTCTTCGGTGATCAAAACTCAAAGTACCCTGAATGACTCATCGTGACTTCCTGAAACGAGAGTCAGGGCCTTCCAATATCCCAGCATCAGTATTTAGGTGCACCTCTAAGCTAGGTTTGTGAATGACATCCATCCACTGGGTAATAACCAATATTTACGCACAAGGTGTCGCCAACCATAAGTTGACCTGCATTTACTTGTTTAGAAGGAAACCTTCTATTGCTAGCATGAATAATCATGCTTTATGGCCATACTTCACCCCCTCTTATTTACAACTGAGAGTTGAGTGGTTTTACTTGGTACCACCGCTCTTTTTGGCACATACTTGCCAAGGATTAACAAGTTTAAAAGACACCTTAGTAATCAATAAATACATTTGGCAGTTTATTTGCAATATTTTGCAAATCAACGATTCTTTGAACTCAAAAGTCAGTTCATTTAGTACGTGATCCTAAGCTTGAAATGTCTTATGCATTCAAAATAATTTCTTGACATTATGTGTGCTACATCAATTTTCCCCCTAATACCTGAAAATGCTCATTATCAAAATAAACCAGCGTACAGGGCCGTAAATAGATCCTCTATAAGAGGTTCTAGATACTTAACAATCGACGGAGATTGAAATCTCACATTAATCCCCAAGTTTCCTATGTGTGCCCATCAATGTATGCTGTGGTGGTGAGATTGGTACGTATATGACGTACTCAATTCTACGCAAATAAGGAAATCTTCATGAATTCCCATGTACTAAATGCATATAGGGGATATGCCGATAATCACCAAAGGGGACGGGGGAGGGAGGGGGATGTGTACTGTACTTTCTTTGTGTTTGATCCCAGATGATCTGATCTATGGATGCTTCTGACGGACTAATTCCGATCCATGATGCGGTAGCCTTGGATGTCCTAAATTGCGTTGTGTTTGTTGGACTGAGGACTGTAGAGGCAGTCAAGCCGCCTTCCATGCATGACCGGGACGCTGGCCGAGTCGGCCGACGGAGGACTGTAGAGTCAGTCAAGCGGCCTTCCCCACCCAATCCAATCCGCGTCGGAGGAGCGCGCGTGGGCCTTCACGTGGGCCAGTACGAAGATGCCTGACCGCTTCTACACGGAAGGTGACCGACGACCTCAGGCATCCGTCAACTATGTGTCTGGTTTCCAAAATTTTGCAAAATTTTCTAAGATTCTTCGTTACATCGAATCTTTGGACGCATGTATGAAGTATTAAATATAAATAAAAAATAAAACTAATTACACAGTTTAGACGAAATTTACGAGACGAATCTTTTAAGCCTAATTAGACTATGATTGGACACCAATTGCCAAATAACAACGAAAGTGTTATAGTACCATTTCCCAAAAAAATTTCGCCAACTAAACGAGGCCTGTAATAATAACACTGACTCCAGAACGGATCCACTCTGACTCCAGAACTGATCCTGCCACCATAGCGACATTATTGTCGATGGTTGCCACCATGCATCGCCTAGCTGCTGCCATGCTCGTGTTGCTCTGCTGCTGCTGCTTGTTTCTCGCCACGCAGCAGCAGCAGCTCCAGCCAGCCGCCGGTGGTAACAGAGCGAGCCCGAGCTGCATACCACATGAGAGGGACGCCCTGCTGGCATTCAAGCACGGCATCACCAGCGACCCTGGCGGCGTCCTCAGCTCGTGGCGGCGAGACGGTCGCCACGACGAGCAAGACTGCTGCCGGTGGAGAGGCGTCCGGTGCAGCAACCGAACTAGCCACGTCCACGAGCTTCGACTTGGACGTGGAGGCACCTTCCCACCAGAATATTTGGCCGGCCAGATAAGTCCTTCTTTGCTTGCTCTGGATCACCTAGAGCACCTTGACCTCAGCGGGAATGATCTAGAAGGGCCAACGCGTCGTCTTCCCGAGTTCTTGGGCTCTCTAAAGAATCTCAAGTATCTTGACCTCTCTGAAATACCATTCTACGGTGGCGTGCCTCCCCAGCTTGGCAACTTGTCAAGGCTGCAGTTTCTAGATCTTTCCAACTTTAGGGGAGGCACGAACTCGACGAATCTCTCATGGTTAACACACATTCCTTCCATACAATATCTTAACTTGGGCGGAGTGAACCTCAGTACAGTAGCGGATTGGCCTCGTGTCATGAATATGCTTCCTTCTTTGAGGGCCCTCCATCTTTCATTCTGCTCTCTTGCAAGCGCAAACCAGTCGCTGCCACACCTGAACCTTACAAATCTCGAGGAGCTGGATGCCTCTCAGAACTCCTTCCACCATCCAATGGTGACCAGCAGGTTCTGGAACATAACAAGCCTTAGATTCCTTCACCTCAACTACACTAGTATGTACGGTCAATTTCCGGATGCTCTTGGAGACATGACATCCCTGCAAGTCCTTGATCTTTCATTTAATTATTATGATGGTGACTATGACGATGGGAAGGACCGCATCATGACCATGGATCTGAAGAATCTATGCAATTTGGAGGTTCTCAACCTTGAATTGTCTCACTTATATGGCGACTTAGCTGAGCTGTTTAGGAATCTACCTCGATGTTCACCCAACAAATTGCAAGAATTATACCTCGGTTGGAACCATTTAACCAGGATGTTACCAAGATGGATAGGGCAATTCATGAGCTTGGTTGTTCTGGATCTAGGTAGGAACTACATCACGGGACATGTTCCATATGAGATTGGTAAGCTTAGTAATCTGACCAATCTGGATCTAAGTATAAATAAATTGGATGGCACGATAACCGAGGAACACTTTGCTAGTGCAAGGAGCTTGCAATATATAGGCTTGTCATATAATGCCCTGAAGATTGAGATCAGCTCGGACTGGCAACCACCATCTACATTAGAGTATGTATCCTTTGCATCCTGCCAGATGGGCCCACTGTTTCCTGGGTGGCTTCAGTGGAATGTGAGCATCGCCTATCTTGATATCTCGAGTGCAGGCATAGCTGATAGGCTTCCACAGTGGTTCTCCGATGCCTTTTCAAATGTTTGGTTCATGAACATCTCCAACAATCAACTCAACGGAACTTTGCCGGCTGATATGGGCTCCATGTCACTTCAGGAACTCTACCTCAGTTCAAACAAATTAACTGGTCAGATACCCATGCTGCCACCAAACATACAAACCTTGGACTTATCCAATAACTTGTTGTCAGGACCTCTGCCCTCTGCTACTAGATGATTTGTGTGTCCGTGTTTATCTCTTATATCATGTAATAAACTGAGAACCGACACTTGATCATTGGCCAACATTAGTGTTTGTTGTACAAGATAGATATTAGTTGTTAGTATATAGATAACATAAGTATGTTGTAAACTCTGGCTGATCTTCAGGATGTTGGTTTGTAGTCTGTACAAGACGTTTGCCTGGTCAGCTCAGGACGCTATATAACACGTAGACGCGGCCTCTACAGAGGTTAACACGCTTCACCAAGTTTTACAGTAATAATTATTTTCTTATGATGATGAACATTAAGACATGGTCAATCAATTCCATGTAGCGCTTCAGGCGGCACTACATCATTGGTCCCTGTGGCCATGGTAGTCGGATCCGGCAACCTGAATACGACCTATCGTTGCATGTTCCACGCTCATCGTCCACATTAGGGCTTGTTTGCCTGCACCCGTATCCACCTTAGTCCACGTGGGTTGAAGTGGATTGAGGTGAATACAATGTGCAGCCAAACAAGGCTTGGCGTGTCGTGGAATTTCAGTGTACCTAGGCGAGGGATGATATGAATCAAAATATCATGGTCTCATCTGCAACCAAAGTGTTACGTATAAGCAACATTCACTTACCATACACATTGAACAAGAAAGCAGAGAACAAGGAGAGCAAATTTCTCAGAAATTGAAGAGCCCAAGACATGAGCACCGCTTAACTGGTGGAGCAGTAGTATATACTACTACACCTGCAGTACCGCTACCTACAAACTGGAGAGCGCTGCTAGTCAAATCTCAAATGGGGTGCAAAATGACCTGGGGATAGTACTCCTGGCACAATTGAGATGATGACTTTTTATGATCAGGCAAATAAAAAAATAAAGTTTTCATAAAAAAAATAAAGTTTATATATAGTCACCAGCATGATCTTTGTTGCGTACCATCGCAAGGGAATAATCATGTTCAATCTGCCCACACTCGACTCAACACAAAACTGCTAATATGGTCATAATAACAAAACGAAAACTGAACCACGAAATGATGATGGTCCGGTTCTGGTTCTCTTCATCATAGGCCTGTCGGCCCTGTCCGCCCGCGGGGCAGTTTTTCCAGCGGAGCCGGAGGGGGACGACGCCCGCGAGGCAGTTTTTCCTAGCTGGAATGGGATACTGCTTGAGGCTTGTGTATCATGGAAAGGGTGCGGTACAGATGCCAGTGGAGAGTGTATGTGTGGCCATCGTCACGCATGCCATTATTTTTATTGGGGAATAATCTCCCTTTTATTCTCTTGTCTTCTCTCTCGCGTTTGTTTGTTGTTGTAATAAATTCGTTGAAGGACTTGGCTCTGATAACTAATGAACGTAACCTTCTTGTGTTGCAATTTGGATTTCTGAACTATGATGCATGAATATGATTCACCAGATATGTACAGCTAGTACGCTGGCTGCTGCTATTCCTTATTCCTTCAGGACTCTACTCAGTCAGTCAGTCAGGCCTTGTCGTTGTAATAAATTCGTTCAAGGACTTGCTCTGATAATGAAGGTAACCTTCTTGTGTTGCAGTTTCGATTTCTGATGCATGATTCACCCGATGTAAAACCAGGTGTGTACAGTAGGCTAACTGCTGCTATTCTTGTTCCTTCCGGGCTCAGTCGTGTGGTTTGCCTTGCTGTTTAATCGTTTGTACTGTACTTTCTTTGTGTTTGATCCCAGATGATCTGATCTATGGATGCTTCTGACGGACTAATTCTGATCCATGATGCAGTAGCCTTGGATGTCCTAAATTGCGTTGTGTTTGTTGTACCAGATGCGTGCATGCATGAAACATACCAACGGCATACCTATATATACTCTGAAGCTTGAGGCCCGTGACCCGTACCAGCCGGAATACTGCTGGTTGTATCATTGAATACTGTTTGATTGATGACTGTTGGCTCCGATCCTTCCTAGCTGGGATGGGATGCTGCTTGAGGCTTGAATTGAAGGGTGCGGTACATATGCCGGTGGAGACTGATGAGTAGCCATCGTATTTATTTGGATGCATGCCATTATATTTATTGGGGAATAAATAACCACCCTTTTGTTCTCTTGTCTTCCCTCTCGCGTTTGTTTGATGTATGTCGTTGTAACAAATTCGTTCAAGGACTTGCTCTGATAATGAAGGTAACCTTGTGTTGCAGTTTCGATTTCTGATACATGATTCACCAGATGTAAAACCAGGTGTGTACAGTAGGCTAGCTGCTGCTATTCCTTGTTCCTTCCGGGCTCAGTCGTGTGGTTTGCCTTGCTGTTTAATCGTTTGTACTGTACTTTCTTTGTGTTTGATCCCAGATGATCTGATCTATGGATGCTTCTGACGGACTAATTCCGATCCATGATGCAGTAGCCTTGGATGTCCTAAATTGCGTTGTGTTTGTTCACTTGTACCAGATGCGTGCATGCATGAAACTTACCAAGACTGCTACTGATGGAAACATTTCTCATCCATGTATTGCTTTGCACTCATACCTTCACCTTCACATTGCAAAACACAGGTGACCACAACAACACTGCTACTGATGCCTGATGGAGAAGTTCCAATACTTGAAGCTACTGTCTTATTCTTTCTAAATTCTGCAGTATCTTTATACTGCTCTAATTCACAGTTGTTTGCTTATCCCTTCGTCCCCGGGTAGGAAGTACTATTACAAAGTTACCAAGACCTGAAGTAATGTTTCACTGTGGAATCATAAGCAACAAAAAAAATTAACTTCACGAATTGTTTGGGCAATAAAGCTTGCGCTTGAAGGCCCAAATTAAAGCAGGCAAATTTCAGGTTCTGCAGTTCTCTGTCTTATTACTCATCATCATCGTCCATGCATTTGCTGATGGCCTGCAACACCGCTTGCTGAACCATTTGTTCATCCACGCTTCCCCCCTGGTGCTGCTGCTGCTTGCCCTGCTGGCCTGATCCACCAAGCGCTTGGAAGCGGAAGGCGGTGTCGTCGGCGCAGGAGACGTCGGCGTCCAGGACGTCGAGGCCGAGGTCCTCCAAGGCCTCCAGAACCGACACCACAAGCCCAGGTCGGCTCCTCTCCGTTGACACGTTGATCCGGAACCCTCTCCTGCTGCTGCAACTGTTGCTATCAAGCTCCACTGACGAGACGCTCACCTGTGCAAACATGACATGCATGATGCAATGCATCGAGAAGTTCAATTGTTTTATCATGTATACATTCATACATGTAGGCATGTTGCGTTGCTTGCAAAATTGCCTCTGCAAATATAATGGCAATCATCATCTAGGGGTTGTGATGTTGTAACAATGTGATTACGTTACGTACCGTTGCTGGCATGGCGCTTCCAGAACCAAAAGCACTACTGCTGTGAGTGTCAGCTTGCGACGGACGATGCTGGAGGAGATGAAGGCGATCGAGGAAAACGAGACTTGGGAGCTTGTCGATCCACCTCCAGGATACCGTTCTATCGGCCTAAAGTGGGTGTACAAGGTCAAGTGGGATGAGCATGGCACCATTATCAAGCACAAGGCGCGCCTCGTCGCCCGAGGCTTTGTCCAGCGCGATGGCATCGATTTTGAGGAAGTCTTTGCGCCGGTAGCGCGCATGGAGTCTATCCGACTGCTTCTGGCTTTAGCAGCAGCGAAGGACTGGCGCATCCATCATCTGGACGTAAAATTGGCCTTCCTCAACGGCGAGCTGACGGAGACAGTCTTCGTTAGGCAACCTCCGGGTTTCGCCGTCAAGGGAGCGGAGCACAGGGTGCTCCGACTGCACAAGGCGCTCTATGGGCTACGTCAGGCCCCGCGAGCGTGGAACGCCAAGCTTGACGCCACGCTCGGCGAGCTTGGGTTCACACAGTCCACAACCGAGCACGCGCTCTACATGCGGGGACGGGGGAAGGAGGAGCTCATTGTCGACGTGTATGTGGACAACTTGATCGTCACCGACGCGCGTGTGGAGGACATCGGCGGCTTCAAGCGTGAGATGGCGGCTCATTTTAGAATGAGCGATCTCGGCGCGCTCTCCTACTACCTCGGCATCGAGGTGAGACAAGGGAAGGAGGCACTAACGCTCGGTCAGAGCGCATACGCCTCGAAGCTGTTGGAGCGGAGCGGCATGGCTGAGTGCAAGCCGTGCGTGACTCCGATGAAGGAGCGGCTGAAGCTGACAAAGGCTAGTACTGCGGCGAAGGTAGATGCAATACTCTACCGGAGCATCGTCGGCGGTCTGCGCTACCTAGTCCACACGAGGCCGGACATTGCATTCGCCGTGGGCTACGTCAGCCGCTTCATGGAGGATCCCCGAGAGGATCACTGGGCTGCGGTGAAGCGACTGTTGCGCTACGTCAAGGGGACGGCGGATCAGGGGATTATCTTCCCCAAGACCGGTGAGAGTATGCTGCAGCTCACTATGTTCAGCGATGCAAACATGGCGGAGGACATCGACGGACGGCGGAGCACCTCTGGTGTGTTCGTTTTCCTCGGACGGACGATAGGGCTGTGTCGGCTCTCCAGTTGCCGATAGGTCACCTATCGGCAATCCAGCGGCCGACAGACTACTACCCTTACAATTCTTTTTATCCGAATGCTATATTTGCAATTAATAATTAAAATACTATTATTTAAAAAAAAATTCAGGAACTCAACAAGCATGATGTTGCAATAACGACGCTCCAATGCCTTGGACACGAGAAAATGCCACTTCTTCGTGTTACTGGCCTCATACAGCTCCCCACCTCCATCCATTCTCCCGCAGTTTAGGCACCAACATACTAATCCTGAAAAAATGCTCGGAGGGCGGAACACCCATGTATTCATGTAGCTAGGCTAAAACTTGTTTTCGGCTATAATCTAGCGGCCAACTCAGTTCTGTGTCAAACACCTAGAACTCGCTAAGGTCTACCCCACTGTCCCCATATCTGATTTCACTGTTGCCATGGTAAATTCAGAAAGGGTCTAAATCGGTTGACATTCCTGGTCGCATCGTGCAAAGCATCGAGTCGGTTAAAAGAAGTACCATGCGAACCAACTCTAACTATACAAAATAACTATAAGAAAACTAACCCTAACATCAAACTACTAACTAAACTATCCGTAATCCAAAAGAATTATCCGAAACTAAACCATAATCCTAAATAAATCGAACCATAGAACCTAACTAAAAATAACTTACCCTAAAAATCTAACTAAAAAACTAATCAACCACTAAAACTAACCCTAATCTACCTAAAACTAATATACAACTAAAACTGACCCTAAAACTAAACCAACTAACTAATCTAACTAAACTAAATTAACTACATATACTAAGTAATCTAACTAAACTAACTAAGAAACAAAATCAAACTAAACTAACCCTAACCCTAAAATTAACCCTAATCTACAACTACAAAATAAATATACTATTTAATCTAACCCTAATCAAATCTAACTAATCTACAACTAAAACTAACAAAATCTAACTAAAATAACTAAAAAGGGAAATCTAAATTTACAAAAAAAAACATACCTGTCGGCCTGGGGCCGGCCGAGGGCGAGCGGGTGGGGGGCAACAGCGGCGCGCCGGCAGCAGGATCCGCAGGCCCATACTTTACTTTGTGTTGTTCTGCAGACATCCTGCACGTACGTTACGCAGCATCTCTCAATATTCGATCTATCGATGATGAGCCACAGCCATCATGATTCATGCATGCTATATATATGTACTAGTTGCAAGAAGAAGTGCATGCAGGGACGAGACGAAGGCAGCGCTATACTGCACCGGCGCTATAGATATCCATGCAGCCCGTAGCCCGTTGGCACGGCACGAAGGCCTCTATTTTAGCCCGGCACGAACTCGGCATGGCCCGATGTTCCATTGGCCCGGGCCGGGCTAGCCCGATGCACAGGGCCGTGCCTAGGCCGCTACTCAGGCACACCGGATGGCCCAGCCCGGCCCACAAATTAGTGGAAGGCCCCGTGCCAGAAATGGCCTGCTAAAGCCCATCCCACTCCCTTCCATCCAAACCCTAACTTTCCCACTCCTTCCCCCACGCCGCATTCCCTTCTCCCACAACCGCGAGGCGCTCGACTCTGAGTTGCGAGGCAAACTCGCCTCCGCTGCCGGCCACACCCAGCACCGACAGTGGCCACCCCTCCTCTCCCCCACGCCGTCGCGCTGCCGCACCCGCACCCCTCCTCTCCGTCGCGCGCGGTGCACCACCCGGCCGCACCCGCACCGTCCCTCCCCCCAACGTGTGCGGCGCGCCGCACGGCCGCACTCGCACACCGCTTCTCCCCACACGCAACGCGGGAGACGGGCCTCCTGCCCTCCTGGCCACCCGCTCGTGAAGCGGCGCGCGGCCCCCACTCTCTTCCACACGCGCAACCGAAGCTGAAGCACGGAGACCACCACCTCCCAGACGCGGCAAAACAGCCTCTTCGCCAGCTCCGACGCTGTTGTTCTTCGCCGGCACCGTCGCCGCCACCCCTCACCTTCTTTCCCGCTCCACTGTCGTTGGAATGCCGCGGATGCGGCCTGCCGGCCCCCTTCCTCAACGCCGGCGAGGCAGAGGCCATGGAAGCAGGGATCGCGCGGGCCTCGGTCCAGCCTGACTTGCTAGATTGGCCGTGCTTTCCGGGCTGGCCCAGCCCGAAAACCGGCCTATAGTGTCGTGCCTAGGTCGAAGGCCAGTCCCATGGCCCTAAGAGGCACGGTCAGGGAGGCACGACGTGCCGTGCCGGCCTGTCCGGGCTGGCCCGTTGGACATCTATGACCAGCGCCATGGATTGCCAACCATTGAAGACCTGGCCAACGAGACAGATCGAAGACGATAGATCAAGTAGGTAGGTAGGTAGCTAGCTTAGCTAGCTCTCAAGTAGCTTCTTTCTATGCTTCATTCTCCCTCCCGGCCGGGCCAACGACCACCGTACCGACCCTGCCCATGCTGGCCTGGCTCTGGCTGGCTAGTGATCATTCATATGCATATCGATCGATACTTATTCCTCTAGCATCGCAGCTAGCTGCAGCAGAGACAAAGAGGAAGACTGATCGATCGGGAGGTCCAGCAGCCTGCCCACTGCATGTCATCGGCTAGCTCTTCTCTCTTCCTTCTCTCGATCTTGTCTAGCTAGCTAGAGGATGCAAGCATGGAGAGACTGATCGACGACCGATCAATCGAGACACCTTTTTACGTTCTTCCTTTCGTCCTTAATTCCTTGCCGCGCTCCTCCCATGCAGATGCAGATGCAGTGCAGCAGCTGGCAGCTGCATTAATTAATTATTAGCCGCCGCCCAAGCCCTAGCTCGATCAGAATGTTTTCGATCCCTCCATCTCTGACACCTCTCTCTCTCTCTCTCTAGCTCGTACGTTATGCATGGGCGCTGTGCACTGGTGGCCTAGTTAGCAGCTGAGATGATTATATGGTGTTAACAGCTTTCATTGAACCCTTTTTTTCTTTCTTTTTTTTCCAAACGAATGCAAAAAAGGGCGTCCACACACATATATGGAAACACGTACTAGCTAGCTAGCTACACCACTTGTCATTTCGAAAGGCATGCACGTAGTAAGAGTCAATGCATGCATGTAAGCTCTAGCTCTTGTCCAGGTCCAGTCGTCTCCGGCCCTCCTTCCTGGCACGCCGCCGCCGCCGGCGGCCAGCCCAACACAGCACGCATGCATGCCACTGGATCGGAGCTTCTCTCCATTCTCTGTGCAGCCACGTCACTGATCCGCCTCCATTCTCTGTCCAGCCACGTCACCGATCCGCCATGTGGAGGTCTGGCCAACCAGCGAAGAGCACACGGATGTGTGTTTTTGCCACCACCAAGTTCCAGCCATGTGTACGTAGGTGTCCAAGGCCTCACTACGTCAAATATGATTTTCAGGGGCGGCTAATGAGCATTTGTAGGAACGGTTCGGCCAGCCGTCCCTACCATACTGTCTCTACAAATTATGCATTTGTAGGGGCGGTATCCAGACCGCCCCTACAAATCGATTTGTAGAGGCGGCTGATAACACCAGCCGCCCCTAAAAAATTGATTTGTAGGGGCGGTTACAGTACCAGCCGCCCCTACAAATCGGTTTGTAGGGGCGGCTACAGTACCAACCGCCTCTACAGTGCATTTTTCCGTCAAAAAATCAAATTACCAACACGTGCTCCCCCAAATCATCCTGTGCGTTGCAACGGAAGAAAAATAAATCAATTTAGCTGAGAAATAAGGTGATGAGGACCATCAGTTGTAGTAGTCTTCAACCGGAATGCCAAACACAATTGATAAGGGGCTAGTGCAACTCCATGTCTCCATCAACCTTAATCAGAGTTCAAATGATACAACTGCCAATGTTCCAAATAAGG